CGGCTGCAGCCTTGCCGGCGTCGGAAGCACTTGGCTCCACGGATGCCTGAGCCACGGTTTTAGTTTGCTTCTCCTCCTTGGAGGCTTCCTCGGGTTTCGTCTTTACTTCGTTGGCGGGAGGTGACTTGCTCTGCACCCTCTCCGGCTCGAAGGCGTTGACTTCGGCAGCGTCGCCCTTTCTGCCCGTGCTCCTTTTGCGTCTCTGCCGCGTGGTTTTCTGACGGCCTTTTTCCTTCCGAGCAACTTCCGTCTCCTGCAAGGTCTCGGCCTCCTGCGCGGAGTTGGAAGACTCGCTGAAGCTGACTTCGGTCTCCTTGCTCTCCGTCTCCACCACCGAGGGGGCAGAGCCAGGGAGCGGCTGCACCGTTCGACGGCAGCCTCACTTTCTAGGATATTATTCACCGCCTGATCGGTCTCGGGCTCCATCTCCTCCCGAGGTGACGGTAACACCAAAGGCTCCGCGGGGATTTCGGCTTCCGATTCTGCGGGATACGTTGGGGGAGCAGGAAAACTTTCCGTCTCCCCCGAAATGTCATTGATGATGGAGCCGATGGCCGCTGCCAGCTCCGTTTCGCTAGCCTGATGCGCAGGTTTATCCCCTTCCTCCTCCTGACGAACTTCGGGCACGTCTGCCGTCGGCTCCTTGTAGGCAGCGATGGACGGAGGAGTTTCGGTGAGTTTTGCGATGTTCTCCACCGCCTGCTCCAGTTCAATCTGTTTTGCTAACTGGGCAGCTTCGGGTGACTGCTTTGGTTCCCGTGTCACCTCTTTTTCCGTTTCTGGGAATGAATCTTCTACCTCGTTCTTAGCAAAATGGGGTGGCAAGATGTCCTCTTTTGGGGGGCTCTTCATTTTGGCTGGCGACATGGCTGCCGGCTCCGCCTCCTCCTCGGTCGGCCGCAAGGCGCCCTTGACTTCGTCCACGTTGAGGCGTATTTCTACATTTTTGAGACACACGGATGCTTTATCCACAACCGTTTTGGTGTTTTTATACCTTCCCCTTTTGGATTTCGTAACCTTTTCTGGTGCCGGCTTCTTCTCCATGATCTCAACCGTGGGGATTTCTAGCTGGTTTTTCTCCACATCCAGTTCTTTCCTGTCACGTTTCTGCTCGCTCGCCGCCGGCTCTTTCTCAGTCGCTTTCGCTTTATTGCTGTTGTCGCCGGCGCTCGATTCTTGACCGCTTCTTTCAGCAGCATCTTCAGATTCAACCGGGGTATCGGCTTTCGATTCGTTCTTCCCTTTCTTTCCTTGCTGGCTGGGAGCAGCTGATGAGTGACTGTGCGTTAGCTTCTGGGATCTAGGAGATCTCCAACCTTCTGCAGGCTTAGGAGCTTCCACAGCATCTTTAGTTTCAGCCTCCTCCACCACCTCTTGCTGTACCGGTTCTGTCTTTATCGGAGAGATCTCCTCCTCCGGCTTACGGCGGGTTTTCGGAGGTCTTCCCCTCCTCGGGGTCGTAGGAACGGTTACCACTGTTTCCTGCGGGTCTTTTTCCCCTCTTTTCCTGGTGGATCTAGTGACCTCCACGGAGTCCTTCACCGGAGACGGGCCTTCGTTGTCCCCCGTGGTAGCGTAGACTGACCTCACGTTTCTGCGCCTGGTCCGGCCTATCGGCAAGCTCGGCTCCACGTTTTCCGGCTCTGCAGCAGAACTAGGGGATTTAGCAGCATTCCTTGAAACCTTCTCCGCTTCCACTTTCAATTCGGAAAGCTTCTGCGTCTCCCCACGAGGAGAGCTCGATCTTTTGAGTTTTTCACGGTCAATTCTTTCGCTCTTCCTCGTGACGGGCTTTTCCGTGACGTTTGCTGCAGCCGATTGCACGGGAGTCTTGGAGCGTTTACTCTTGTAGGACTTTTTGTCTTTGACGACAACCGGAGGTTCGACTTCCATATCGTTGTCGGAAACCGGCGGCAGGACCTCGGCAGCCACCTCTGCCTTTTGACTCGCACTAACATCAGAGTTGGCAGAAGGTGAAGGATTTTCTTCTTTAGGTTCTGCAGCCTCATCGGACTTCTGAACTAGCTTGGGCAGAGGTGGAATCAACTGGGAAGCTTCAGGTTCTGGGTCTCCACTGATGTCTCCTTGGGAAAACGAAGCTCCCGGAGTAGGAGGCTTGGTATCCAAGTATGAAGGATGCTCAGTTGCTACAACGTCTTCCTCCGGTGCCAGGGTTGTAGCAACAACTTCTTTACTAGCTTCTACGACCGGCGGGGATTCAGTTTGCTCGGGTGGTTCGATTTTGACAGGAGCAGCAAGTTCAGGAAAAGGTTTTCGTTCTTCCGCTGCAGAAGCAGGTTCAGATGGTTTTTCTTCTTTTACAGAAGCTGCTTCCACCACTACCTTCTCATTCGCGACCTTCTCGGAAGCAACCACTGCTTCCTGTGGCAGGACAGCGACCGAAGACGGAGCGACTACCGAGGAAGTTTTATGTTCCGGTTCTTTACTATCAGGAACCGTTTCTGGCGTTTTCGGCCGGTTTTCTTTATCTTCCTGTTTTTCCACTTCTTTTGGTTTCTGATCTTTCTCCTTTTCCTTCTGCTGCATTCGCGTCAGTTCGATGAATCTGCTGTGAAAGAGAACTACCGGCTCCTGCACCAACTCGGCCACGCTGTTAGTCCCGTCGGAGGAAGACTGTCTCCCGTACAATCTACCAGAAATGAAGTCAAGGTCGTCGTCTTTCCTCTCCAAATGCTGCAGGCGCTTGGAGTCCTGTTCAAAGATGGAACTATGCAAAAACCGAGAAGCGAACAGTTCCTGCCTCTCTTGTTCCTCCTCTTTGTGATCTTCTTTCTTATCGTCCAGTTTTCCACCTTCTGAATCGGTCCTGATTTTTTTCTTTTTCATATACCAAGATGGAATAGGTCTCGGAGCCGAGTCAACCTTCTCTTTGTCTTTATTGTTTCTAAAACTGGCAAATCTTGAATCCCAATCTAGAAAGGACCAGTTTTCTTCTCTGGACGAAGAGAGAGATTTCGCTCTTTCAAGCAAGGCCTTTGTGTCTGGTGTGATTGTCTTGTCCAAGGCAAAAGAGTAAAATTTGTTTCTTTCCAAGGAACTCGACAGTCTTTCCTCTCTTTCACGTAACTTCTCTTCTCTGTCCCTTAATAAAAAAGACAACCTCGAAGTCTCTAACAAGGACGAGGCTTTCGGGGAATGGGGCTTGTTTTCACTGTCATCGTCTGAGTCTGACGGCACCTCCCCAGGTTCCAGGTCTCGGACGGATCGCTTGCGTATGCTGTCTCTCTTGACGATGCTGCTTGGAAAGCTGATATCGACTCTCCCAGGCTCCTGCTTCACTTGGGTTTCCCACCTACTGGAGTCATCTTCCGAACTCAGCACAGATAGTTTTATTTTAGCCATTTCCGCCATCTGCTCCCTTCTGCTGGAGTCGTAAGGATTAAACTTCAGCGAGTCCTCCCTCACAGTCATGTTGGAGTACGAAAGACCCTTTTCTTCTATTTTAGGCGACTCTTTGGTTTCCTTTAATGGCATCAGCCTCGGAGAATCGAGCGTGTCGTCATCTTCATGGAAAGGGAAGTGTCTGATACTTGGGGAACAGGACGTCCTTTCGGAGTCCTCACTCACCTGACGAGAACTTCTGTAGTTTCTTTCTCTTTTAGTGCTAATTTCGAAGTCGAACTGGTCAGTCTTTTTCCTTTTACTCGGTGGAGAGTCGTCGGTGACGTCTTGCGGAGGTTTTCCCACCTCGTGGACCAAGCTCCGCCTTTCGTATTCATCCACATCTTTCTTTGGACTGCCGAACTTCTCCGACTTCGCAATCTCCATTTCCAGCTGCTGTTTCAACCTGCGACTTTGCTCCATTTGTTTCCTGTAGCTTTGCGTGTGGTCAATGTCAATGCCAATTTTCTCCTCCGTATCAGCTGACTGAGGTTTCTCTTGGCCGAGTTTATGGTCAGGTGTGTCTTCAGGAAGACCGGAGTAATTCTTCCTTGCATCCTCTCTCTCTGTTCCTTGTTCATCCAGTAGCGGTACCTGTTTATGCTGGGTTTTTACTGGGTTGGGTTTTTTAGAAGAGACCTCCTGAACTTCCACTGGCTCATCAGCTGCCTCCATGAGCCTCGCCTGCAGATCTAGGCTGGGACGCATGCCAATCCCACCAACATTAAGGGTCTCCTGAATTTCTTTGGGACTAGTAACAGGAATGAGTCTTTCCAGTTTGAGTTTTTTAGATTCCCTTTTAAGCATCTCCTTCCTCAGGGGTTTTCTCTCCAATTCTCCTTCCCTCGAGGTCGTCGTTTCTCGAGACGAAGCCGTCGCATCCAGCTGCTTTTTCAAAACCACGCGCGCATCTTCCTCATCCTGGCTGCTTCTTTTGGCTTCTAGTTTTTGCCTCTCAGGCTTCAGATTTGCATCGGCAAAACGTCTTTTACGAGCCTCCAACTTGTCTAAATCTACCGCGTTGGCCCCCTCGGAAGTTTGCTCTGTCTTCAAGTGCTTTTTGGGTTTCAGTTTTCCTTCCTTATCCACCACTTCTACATGGCTGGCAAGGGCTTTCTCTTTTTGTACCTTGGTTCTGACAGGTTCCAGTTTAGACTGGTCGGACTTGGTTTGCTCAGCTTGAGATGCCTGTGGTTTTTGTTCAAGCAGCGGGGACTTCATAGTGTCATTATCGAGCTTTGCCCTCAGCTTCTCCAGAGCGGGCTGATCAATAACTTTCCCTTCCTTTTCTTTCACTCGGGTCAAGACGACGCAGGGCATTAATTCCAGGCGGTTTTTAGCTGTCCCTTCTTTGTCACCTCTCTCTTTGCTTTGTTTACTGTTACCCTTCAATTTTTCAGGGCTGGGCTCTCTCTCATTCTCTTGATCCGTTTCCGAAGACTGAGAGCTGGGCGAATGGATTTTCGCTTTTCGTTTTTGCTTATCGGTTTTCTCCTTTTCTAGTTTTTCCGGCTTCTCCTTTCTCACCAAGCGTTTCTCCTTGTCGACTCTCTCCTGGTCGAAAGCCCGCTCCTTCTCTGTTTTTTCGTTTTTTCCGTAACGTTCCACGCGGGCTTTGTCCAGTTTGTCGTATCGCGGAGGAGACAGAGAACTGCAGCTGCCGCTGCGATCCGATGACCTGCTGTAAATCCTCCTCTCCGAATCGCTCTGCAGCCTTTCCGACTGCGAGGGAGACGCCCCAGGGCTCTGCGGACGCCTGGAATGCGTCGGACTCTGGCTCCGTTCAATCGGTCTCCGTTCGTGGTCTCTGTCCCGATCAGATTCGAACCGTTCCCGCTCCCTCTCCCGCTCCCGTTGCCTGTAACTGTACTCCCTGATGTCTTGCTCGTATGGATCGCCTCTGTAATCCCTGTACTCGCGCGGGTCGTCGTAGTATCGTGGGTCATAGTAGTCTCCTTGGTAAGGATCCCACTCCGCGTAAAATTCCCTGCCTCGAGCTGGGTATTCTCGCCGAGGATCTTCGGGATATGTCCCTGGAGTCCGAACAGTCTCGTAGTAAGTACGGTCCGGGGCATATTCGTACGATCCTCTTCTTTCATCCCTGCTAAATATAAGAATAAACGGATGAGTTTTCCTTCTCAACCAATGTACCACGTTAGCACGTTCTTTGCTACGCAGGGGAACCATTTAATGACCATTTCTTTACGCGCGCAACGAGGTGACCGTACGCAGCTGCCTACAGGGATTTAACAACAAGGAATCGGTGCGCGGCAGATTAAATGCTTTGTCAGCTTATCAGTGCAGGGAACCGGTCATTTTGTGACAGCTCTGCCCGGGATCTTTGCATCAGCCTCACTGTCTCCTTTCTGCCAAATTCAAATATCGCATTAAATTAAAGTAAAACGTACGCAGCCCCTGCGCACCCACGCGCGGTCTGTCACGGTGAAGATCACCGCATCTCACGAATCTGAAACCTACCTTTGAAAACATGAGTCAAGTCAAAATTCAAGGCTGGAACCTCTCCGTCACTAAGCCGTAAAGCGATAATAAGATTTCTTTAAAAATCCCAAACCCTGTCAGCGATCATTTGATTCCAGCATTAGCTCTTTCGCTGCACGCGACATGCTGTCGTTGCCTACTTACAGACCGAGTCAACCAAAAAAAACCAACCAGCTTGTTTACTAGAGCAGGTGAATCCACGGGAAGCATTCAGCAAAATAAGTCAGGCAATTAGTGTCATTATCTCTATACCTCCAAAAGGCCAAAATAAGCCGTTTGTACCACCGAACACGCCTCTTTGGCAGAGGGGTGGCACAGAGCTGATGCTCCAATTCTCCACCATTAGGAGTGTTTTGCACACTCTGTTTCACACACGTTTGTTTGGCTTCACAGTTTATGTTTTCTGTTTCAAGCTGACAGCTCCCACCTTTAAGAAATGCTCAAAACTGGAGAACAAGGCAAAGAAACACAAGATGGAAGACGAAAACCTCATTCTGCAAGTGAAGTGGGACGTTGTGAAAGCCAGCTGAAGTTCAAAAAATTAATCATGGGTTTTGTTTGGGCTTTTTTCCTTTGTGCCCTGTTTAGACTGGCTACAATGACAACCTAAGAGAACCCGCAGATCTCGGCATCGCTGCAAGGGCCCGCGAAACGCCAGGAGGAGCTCGGAGGAGGACCAGAAGATGCAGAATTACAAGCCTCACTGCAGAGCTCACTCAATCACTCCGTGATTCATTATTCCTAAGCATCTCGTAACGACTGTGTGAGCATAATGACAGAAAAGGAAAAACAAGACTAACGTATACCCGAGCATCACGCTGTTCCAGAAATCAGTGTTCTACTCAGAATTATTTCATGGCAAAGACAAGCCCAGCTGACTCCCGTGCGTTAAGACACTCAATAATGCACTTCTCTCCTCTCAATTTGGTGTAGTTCCGAGGAAATTATTACTGACTGCTTGCTGGCACATCACAACATCTGGCAAGGACTGGGGAACGCACACGTTTATTTCCTTTATGCAAATCCTGATAGCCAATTTCCAAACCCTTCTCGCTTCTAAATCTGTCAGTTTTGCATTTATGTTCAACCCATCTATTTTGCTGCAAAAAACACACCGAATTCATCCAGCACACAGGTACAATCAGTGTCACGCTGGGCTTATTCATGGGGAAACCAGAGCCTTAACAATTAAGGCAGCCTCTGAAGGTAATAAAAATGCACCCACGCAAAAAGCCTTCACCATAGTCATCAGTAATAAAACCACAGATGTTTCTTTACCCTCTGGAAGCACAAAATGAGGAGTGCTTCTGTGCCAGGCTGCTCTCAGCCGGGGTCTGCAGAGATAAGTGGCCAGGCAGGGGGAACATGAGCCTTTGCTGCACGTGCAAAGTGAACAGACACCGTCGTGACAGATGCCGCAGAAGGACATCAACCTAAACCACATTTTTCATGTCAAACAAGAAAAGAAAAATTGCAGACTCATTTGTATTTTAGTATTTTATCAAGTGAATAAACTAAACTGTTGAAAAGGGGTAGGTGGAAGACCAAATTCTACCCTCTGCTCGACAGACGAGCAGCAGGAGTTTATCAGACTATGTATAAACCTGTTACAACATCTACGTTTCTCTTGAGGGCACAGGAAGGCATTACAGATACAATACACTCTGCATTCCTAAGCACTGATGAATGACTCACAACTGTGTCCCAGTGACCCACCACAGTAACCGGATACTAAATATATAGATCACGCAGATAGTCCAAACCTCCACCTAAGTACGGATTTCAGTAACCGACTGCACTTCAGATGTGTGATATCCTGTCTGCTTTAATCTGCAACGCCAAAATTTGATTAAAAATAAAATAACTGAAAAGGTAAGACACGCTAAAATGTTGTTAATAAAACTTTCAAAAGAAAAGTGAAGTTGACAGGAACAAACCCAAGTGTTTGGTTAATAATTATGGCCTGAAGAAAGTTCTATTGCACTTACGACGACGCTGGAAAAGCAAAAGACTAATAAAGATACTGAGACACATACCTTCTTTCTGCCAGCATTTCATAAAAGTCTCTGATATCTTGACCCGTTTTCTCCATGGAATGATAAAACGCCAACTGACTTTCTCGATTCGCAAAGTCCACCTGAAAAAATAAAGGATAAATCACGTTCAGCGAGAGAAACATCCCATTTGGACAACATTTCACTGCCTGCTGCAGAGTTCGAAGACAGGAGCAGGACTGAAAATGGGGATGGTGATATTTAACAAAAAACTGTCCAACGCTTCTCAGGACCAGCCCTACGCACCCCCAGGAGCAAAGCCCTTTCTCTCCTAACTCGGTGTAGCTGCGTGGAGTGATGTAACTACCTCCTTACTGGGGTGTGTTGTTGTAGCTGCCAGACCAGAGGCTTCTGTTCAGTAAACCAACAGGAAAAACACACGTTATTATTGTGGTGTTGATGGTTTTAATACTACGACTCCCAGTTACAGCTCCTTTTTGTCTCAACGTGGCGCTAAAGCGGGTCAGTATTATTAATCTCTTTCAGACTCCACGTTACTTGCCCGAGGTTATACAGCGAGGCGAGAGCAGGGACGGGAAAGGAACCAAACCTCCCGAATTGCAGCTCCCTGTTCAAACTACTCGAAGAGTCGATGTTTTCTAGCTAAAGGTGACAATATTAAGAAGCTAATGGCACAGCTGATGCAAAAAATTAAGGACTAGAATGGATTGAACAACATGTATTCCACTTAGGGTGATTTTTTTAAACATTCTAGTTCCTTCTTTTTCAAAAAAATCAGCCTAAATATCTGTATAACCACAGCAGTGGAGCACAGACATACAGGAATTAGGGGTGCTGCTTATTCCAAGGTTGCTGAGTAGTGAGACCCACAAACACAAGATACAAAACTCGTAAGCGACCGCGCATTTTAGTGCGTAAAAAGGCTATTTGTGTCCAACCACCACGCTTGGAAACTACCGTTTATCCAACTCCTAACCCCGACGGGTGCGGAGTTGCTAGGTTAATAACACCAGGTGAGAGATCACGCTTGAAATCATTACCCACTCTTTAGGAGAGGAGAGAAGAGGAGGAGGAGGAAGATAATTCAGAGGGTTGGCTGACACCTCACGCCCCCACTGAGTGGAACTGATGGGACAGTCGTAACAGGTATTACCACATTCACCCAAATCCAAGACATCCCCATAAATGTTAAGTGTTGCTCCAGGAAAAAAATACTATCTATTTTTTTAAGGAGTGTTTTTAATTTTTTTTTTTTTTTAATCTTTAAAATCTGTTACATGGAAGAAGCTGCCATTGCAAGAGCGGATGGTGTGCTTGGGTTGCTGTACCCCACTACTACGCCACGCAACCCACCGCAGATCGCCCCGGCCAGGTCAAGAGAAGCTGAAAGGACATCAACCTAAACCACATTTTTCATGTCGAACAGGAAAAAAAAAAATTGCAGCCTCACTTGTATTTTAGTATTTCATCAAGTGAATAAACTAAACTGTTGAAAAGGGGTAGGTGGAAGACCAAATTCTACCCTCTGCTCGACAGATGAGCAGCAGGAGTTTATCAGACTTTGTATAAACCCGTTAAACATCTACATTCCTCTTGAGAGTACAGGAAGGAGGAACTCACACCCTCAGGTTTCGCTTTTCTAACACGAGAACGGACAAAAAGTTTGCCTTGGATTTGGGAAAATGAGGTAGTAACACGGACACCGACACTCAGGAGCTTAAGAGAGACAAGTTCAGTGAAACAAACAGCAGAATACTGGAAAAGGCTTGGTAAGTAACAGTTCAAGACACCCTAACATCTTGATAAGCCGAGTATAAAAAAATAGTTTAAGCCTTTGATATCTGGGACGTATACGTCCCGCTAAGTATTCCTTTCGACTGGCAGTCTGCAAATGCCAGTGTTTAAGGGGTAAGGCCTAAATACAATTTGTTTCTCTCTTTTTTTTGTTTTTGTTTTTGTTTTGGAGGTCATTCTGCACACCTTAATTTTATTCCCACCGATTTTCCTCCCCTTGGTCTCTTTTACAGCTGCTTGTGCATATTCAATCTCATTGTAGAGAACCAGGGCCATGCCTTTTAAGCGGTCAAACACCACCTGTAAAAAACAAAAAAACAAAACAAAAACCAAATAAGAGCCTCATCCACAGGACTTAATGTCAGTCCCAACAAAATCCTAAGTCATGAGGATACCAGTAAGAAAATAATTTTTAGCAAGCTAAATTTCCAGGCTTTTCTGATGAGGCATATTGTAATGAAGAGACAATAAAAGGACACGGGACTGCTTTGAATTGTGGATATTGTGGCTTGAGGTATATTATGCCTTTATTTTGTTTTTCTGTATTTTACTTTTTTTTTTCCTTCAGTGACTGAGTTTTGTCGTTTCTCTTTGTTCACTTTTAGGGTGGTTTTTTTTTGGAAAAATCTCCAATGTGTTTTAGGGGGGAAAAAGGGTAAAGGGAACGTTTAATCCCAAAATGGAAATAGTTTTTGTTATCACAGTCTGCAGTACCACTTGTCAGTTGCTAAAATATTCCAAATTTCCAAATATTAGCTTCTTTAGCAACGTAAACTTAATATTCGAGACAAGAAAGAATGTCAAAGCTGCAACACAAGCCCACAAAAATCCTTTAAGGAGGCACGACCCTGATCCTGCAAAGATTTACACACGTTGCTTGAAGTTAAGCACATCCATGTCCAACAGAAGTACGTGGGACAACTCACACGCTTAAGTTGAAGCATGTGCATAAATCTCCAGCACCGACCCACAGCGGGACAGGTAACGCGCTCCCACCGTGAGATACGGGCATGTTGCACCATCGTTTGACTTTCTCTCTTCTTTCACGGGCTTTTGCCACTGTGACTGTCCTATCTGCTTTTAAAAAGTCATATTTTTGGTCTAAAAATTACAGCTATGTCTAATTCCGTAATTAGCACGCACGAGCGTAACTCCGTAATTAGACCGCTGTTCCTCTGACGTCAGCCTTCTACAGAAATTTTGTTGGGGTGAGACTGTACTGCACAAGAGCAACAAATGGTTTCCAATATTCGTTATCTCGGCTCATTTGAAGTATTTTTTTGTTCGTTCGTTTTGTTTCCGAAACACCGGAAGCGACCGCTCTATCGGATCACCAGGATGCAAAGCTACAGAGCCCTGAGAGCCAAATTACACCCCAGAGAGAATTTCTCTACCTGAGCTATAAAGCCCTGGACAGTGGGGGTTGAAAGGACAGGATGGGAAGAAAGGAAGACAGTAACAACTTCAAACCACACACCAAAACCTCCCACCTACCTTCACCACAGGCCCGTATCGGCAGAAATGTCGAGTTAAATACTGATCCGTAACGTTTGTAGAAAGACCATCTAACCACACGCAGTTTGTAGGCATGCTCTTTCCAAAACCCAGCTGAACACAAAAGGGCAAAACTTCCATCAGTACAATTCACAAGCGCCAATGAAAGAGTCATCGGAAGAAAGTCAGTCATTTGCATGGGTTTTCTAAAATTAGCATCTCGCGCAGGTGCAAGACAAAACTCAAACAGCAATTAATGGAAATAATTCTGCATGCTTAAACAAATACAGTGTTTGACAACATGCCTTTCTTCAGCATTTTGGATGCTTCTGAAAAGTGACACGTTGACAGCTCTGGGGACTGACAGCCTCTGTTTATCTTTGGTACTGGTGCAGCTTCCCAGCACAGTCTCGCCAGACACGGACCTTCAAGGCGAGGGAATGTCAGTCTCCAACTCTACTCAATCCTGGGGCTCCTTGCTGAGACAGTCAGCAAAATTAATCCCAGTTATGGTGGTGGTTGAAAGCATCACGCTCTAATCTGACCTACGCATTAAAAAAACATCTTACTTCCACCAACTCTGCTGCTGCAAAACATCCTATGATGCCGTAAACGGAAGGTGACAAGAAGGAGATAGTCCACGTGAGGGTTTCTTTACCTTGAGCCGGTTATTTCCAAGATATTCCCCATCCATCTTCTTAATTGCTTTACACACGCTTGCAATATCACAGTACTGCAGGAATTCATACTGAGGAACACCGTTCACTTTCTTAATGTCGATATCCTGAGCAAAGAAAAACAAAACAAACCGAAACAATCAAGTCAGCAACAGGACGAAAAGGACATTCAACAGGGTCAATTAGATCTAAGTGGACTTTTTTTTTGAGAGACACACATGGCACAGCAAGCACTCTTTAATTAATATTTTCTTCAGAGAGAGATTTGAACAATAGTAGGCGGTCAAAAACATCACTGTTCTGCTGTACATCTCGTTCAACGGCCGAAGGAAACCCTTACTGAGGCAGGGAAAGCTCTTCGTCACGCAGATTTAAAATTCATCCCCGCACAAGTTAAGCCTGACCTGATCAACAAACAGCAGCTTTCGTTTGTTAACAGTATGTCAAGAAGAGACAAGTCAGAATCAAAGAAACACGGATTAATTTTCCCTCGCAAAGGCTCGAGAGAAAACAACCTGCTCCGAGCCTCAATTCCGAGCCAAGAGGCACGCGGGGCTTCTTTTCCAAATAAACACGATCCATCCTGCTCCTAGAAACAGAAAGTGATGCTGGACTCGGCTCTCAAACCAACTTGGCACCGACAAAGGCAAAAAAGATCCTCAGCTTCTTTCACCGCTGCTATCTGATCCCAAACCAAAAGTAAGCGAAGTCACGAGAAAGCTACAAAAGCCTAAAAAAGGCTGATTTTAATCAATTTAAAAAAAAAAAAAAGTAAGCTTGGAGTTGACATTTGGTTAACATTCAAGCTCAGCACTAGTACTGGCAAACTGTACCTCTGAACAAACTCATGATATTCTGATTCATTCCGATCTGAAAATAGAAGGTGGAGTGTTTGGTTTGATTTAAGTAGCACGAGTTGCCTCTGTGCCGGCGCCAGCGCGCCCATTTAAGCACAAACGTTCCCACGTCCAGGACGGACTAATTTCATGGTTAATAAATTTAGGGACAAGGCAGCAGTTTGATACGGTCTCACCCAAGAGCTCTTTATCTGGGAAAACAGAAGTAAACAAGGAGATTTACACAACTATTAGACTTCTACAGCCCTGGCCTAATGATTTAAGTGGAACACTAACAAGAGAACTCCACTTCCAAGAGTCCGAAGTACCACTGTTGCAACCGTGGCAAATTCTACTTGACCGCTCACCCTGGGCAAGCAATTCCTTCTGACAGGCAAATAAAATATCATTATTTTGCTCATTATCCACCCGAAAGGTTAGAAAGATGGTCCCTTTTGCACCTGATCTTGTAAGCTTTCATGGAAATCGTGCGGGGAAGCACCACTGCCCAGTTCTGACCGATTAATAACGCTGACAGGACAGCAGTATTTCACAGAAAAGCCAATTTACAAGACAGTGCACTACTACTGATAAGCATCTTTATCAGAAAAGGGTTTAAGCCACAGCGGGAATTCGTAAGCATTGATGTCAAGGATACGGCGGAGGCTGGATGCACAGGAGCTGCCAGACAACATAAAATGTACATTTTATAATTGTCCACATCATATACGGAAGAACACCTTCCCTTCTTTTGGGGGAGGCACATACTGGGTTTGTGGTACGTGTGACCGATACCTCAACGCTTACAAAAATATTTCAGAGCAGAATGAATACGGCACAGCATGCTGCTAAGCAGCCACAGCTACCAAAATATTGTACAGCGAGCGTATAAACCAAACCATCAGTGCTGAAGCTTGGATTTGGTTAATTAAACTGACCGTGGCTAGTTACTTTTCCGGAAAATTTCTCTTCAATGCAATATTGATACGATTTGATAGAAAGCAGCATGAGGAGAGGACAGGAGAGGGGCTGATGGCTGCTCGCCCTCGTTCAGCTGAAAACCCAAATCCCACACGTGTCATCACTGCTCCGCGTCTCTTCTGCCCCATTGTCAGGGCAAGAACTGTGAGAGCCGATGGCTACTTCCACACGTGGCAACTAAATCCTTTGCTTCAGAAATCAACAGGGACCTGAGACTTCCAAGAGTTGGACTGATTCAACATGAACATAACCCCAGGAATTACTCACACCTCAACCACCTAGTTAGGCTTTTCTGCACAAGCTCTGACATGATGATTTACCACCGCTCGTAGTGTTTTACAGGTCTGTACAGAAATAACGGGCAACGAGACCCGACACAGCACAGGGAATTCACATACCACTATCCCACCAAAGCGCTGAAATATGTTGCGGAGGTCGTGGTAGGTGGTAGTTTTCTCCAGGTTGCCAATGAAGAGGGTTCTTGTCGCTTTCGGGTGAAACTCATCTATCCTTTCATCCAAAGGACGAAATTCATTCTCGCTTTCTGTTTCTAGAAGCAAAAGAGAGCAAGAAATTTGTAAGGCACAGAGGTGTTTTTCACATGGGTTGGGTTCACGTTGATTTGTTTGTCCAAGTCTACTTCCTGACGAGCAGATATGATCAAAACGAGAGCAATCAATGTCTTCTGACAAAAATACACAGCACTACACTTGCCAATTGTTATTTACGTGCAATTCAAAATCTGTGCATCGCAGCACAGGGTGCGTGCTGAGGAATTTGAGCATCCTCAGGTGAAAGGCAGCTGCATTCTCTCACTGCTTCTCTAGAAGCTGACTCTTTGAACAAGTATTACTGCATGAATTCAAATAAGGCTTTGCCATACTTGGGGAACAGCACGAGGAAGAAGTTTGTTTTCACGAATCAATTTTTAAACAAGCAATTGAAGTGCAGACTGAAAACTTAACCCCGTGCTTAATGTATAGCTTTCACTGGCCAGCCGTTCCGGCTATGCTGCCTTAGCCTCAAGAATGCAGCCAGCGTTAGCTGTTTTAATTAAAAGCAGAAAAAACAAGCCTGTGAGGACTCAGTGCTATCCTTACACCACCCACCAGCTTCTGCTCCACTAAAACATGGGAGATGAGATTGTTTCTTCCAGCAGCCAGCAGATCCCGCTGCTCAAGAGGATGGCAGGTTTCCTTCTCTGAGGTTTAAGACTTGAACTCTCCCTGTTTGACCTAAGAGCATCTATTCTTCTTGCTCCAGAATTTATTCTGGTGTATTTCCCATTTTCTTTAAAATGTATTTCTGCAAAAAGGCAGTTTTAACATTTCCTACTCCTGTGCTGCCTCTTTACAACAGTTCGTGTCCAGCACAAGAAGGGCATGGAGCTTACCTGGTCCTATCCAGGCCGTGACTTCAATCTGCATGCCAAAGAAAAGTTTTCCTTTTGAGGCATTTAGTGCTTTTTCCTGGTCCTCCTGCTGTCGGAAGAACACCAGTCCATACCGTTCCTCAGAAGCCCCGTGAATCTGCACCGACGTCACCTTTCCATACTTCTTGAATTCGTGGAAAAGTCCATCTTTAAGGCTTGTGTCTAAAGCAACAAATAAACATTAGTACTATCAAAACGTATTTCTTACCAATTTAGTAGCACCGTAAAAGACGTAAGAAATCTGGTCGTCCTTCTGAAACGCGACTTCATCCAGTTTAACCCGAGTCTCAGTGCTGACAGAAGTGCCTTTTTAATTCTGGGGGTTAACTTTGCCCACGTCAAAAGCTTCTGCCTGACCCTTCTCTTTGTCTTGGTTTTTAAACCCAAGAAACTACACACGCAGGGTTTTACACCGCCAAAGCTGGCAGCGTACGGTTATCACTTCTAAGAGACATCTCGTTCAAGATGAAGAAGAAATAAACAGTGTTTCTCCATTAATAATCCCACACGGATACTGCACAGAGCAGCTTTCCAAAGCTGGGACGAGGCACCTGGAATGGGGACGAAATTCAGCAAGGTAACGAGGCAGATTCGTCAGATTGTGCAAAATCTGGCTCACGCCCACACAATCTGCCCGGGATCTGTGGGGTGTTTACCTCGGTGGCACGTCACTTCAAGGAACGTTACGGCAATAAAACCTACAGAAAGAATATGAACGTTGCCAGGTACGCTGCTCACAAAGTTACTATCTATTATTTTAATTCCACCAGTGCCTTTGTATCCAGGAATTATGTTACAATTGTTTTCCAAACAACCTCACGTTCTTTTTTTTCCATGGGATCTCTCCCGCAGCCAGCACGGGGAACAGAGAGCGATCACCTGCGCTCCCCCCCGAGTGGTTTCTTGCATTATTTACTGTGCAATATCCAATGCCATTACGAATATGCTCACGGGTGTTCCACAGCACTCAACGCCGCGACAGAAAACCCTCAAGTTTTTGTATTAAAAAGGAAACTGAAGCAGAGTGAGAACAAACGGTCCAAGTTTCAAGTGAAAAATTTGAGCTGCTTTAGGTTTTTCCCCAGGGAAACCCACATTACTGTTTCAAAGCACCAGCTCCGGTAGCTGTAGCTGCCCAAGCCCAGGGACTCGAGCCTGGGACCTGCAGGATTTCTCACAGATGGCCACTAATGAAGCAATTTTCCCATCGGCGCACAAGAACCGAGGGTCCCGTCCTTGGAGGCAGCACATGGCTGCTGTGTCAAACACACAATACAGATGATTTAACCAGTCCCTAACCTGCTTCTTATTCCTTTTCCTCCCCCCTTATTTCACCTTCCCAGGTGAATTTACCTGTTGAGCGCACTGGAAGATTTTGAACCTTGATCCCGAAACTTTTCCGAGGTTCATCCTTCTCCAGAGATGGAAGCAGCTGGGACGCAGGTGCTGGGACGGCTGTCGACTGCACCGACCGCGCTGGCGACTCTGGAGCTGCTGCTGGAGTCGCTGCTACGAATGGCACAAGGGAAACGACAGGTGAGCGGATGGAGACGCGAAGCGACGAGAGGACATGGGGTATTGTATTTAAAAAGCAAAATGTCAAGGTTTTTGCTGGTCTACAGGCAGAAAATCCAGTAACTGTCACGCAGCCCAGGTTATACACAGGAATTTATAGACAGACATTCTACAACTATTCTTCTATGAAGGAGACAAGTCAGGGAGAGGAATACGGGTAAAACGTCAGATAGATCCTGTTACGCTCCGTGACGACGGCGGAGATCTAATTAAGCGTTAATACAATGTTGGATCAGCTCAGGAGCTGTGTGGGAAGGGAAACACGGAGAGGGTACGCAGGGCTGCCGAAGCCTACGAATCCCTCCCAGCGCTCTCACGTACAAAAAAGAAATATTATCGTGCTCTCAGGCGCTGCTGTCGATCCAAGAGTCGACCTTAGAGTTCTCCTTATCGCCTCCCACACATCTTTTAAAAAAGATCCGTACCTCTGACGACAGGAAAACCTCGTGGGAGAAAACCACGGCAGGTTTCGCTCAAGAAGAACCCAGGAAACGCACGCTCCTGTAAACGCTGTTTCCAAGCTCAGCCTCAACAGCCAACTTCAGGGTATGAAGAATTCAGACCCGAGAACAGCTCTGCTAAACAATAATTACGGCAGAACGGGATTTGCATATTAGATCACGCAGGGAGTCGATCGAGTCTGTGGCGCAGATCGCTGAGACGCCTCACAGGAGAGTCAGAAATGCAGAGAAAAATGTTATTAAAGCTCACCCAGTGGGGACACGTCATCTTCTTCAGTGGCTGATTTCTTCCCTGAGGCACGAGGGCTTATAACATCGCTAAAAATAATTTTGTCTGACATAACCCTGGAGACTCTCATTCTCCATTACATGAGCAGCCTTCTAAAAAATTCTGCTGGAATTTTACCTCGGAGGCCGGAGGGGAAGAGACGTGCCACGTACAAAAATAACCCCACCGGTTTTAAATTCACTGCTTTTGATGGAATTTTTATGTTCCTCTCCACATCGGATCAGAAAAAACGATCAAGTTCATCTTTTTCTTATCTTCAATTATTTCATAGGTTTCTTATATACTCTCTTTACATTAAACCACTTAACGTTTCCTATTCTTTTCTGGGGGAAACCATTTCAGGCTTCTAATCATTTTCAGGATTTGATTTGGTGACCTTTTCTACTATGCTCCCTTTTTACTGGTGTACAGTTTATATAACGCCGGGGAGGCAGCGAGAGAGTAATTTTTCTTAAAACGTTCTCGAAAACTGGTTTTCTTTCTGAATATCTTGGTGTAATGAGCGCTGTGGCACATAACTAAAAGCCCTTGGGCTCTGTCCCCATTATATTTGGAGGCGCAGAAGAGGAAGGCAATCTCTGTCCCAAAGTACTTACAAACAATCGAAGCAGGATATAAAAACACACCAGACCAAAACAAAACGAAAAAGGTCAAAAACGCGGAAGTAATAATAAACATGAGAAACTCTCCTCCCACTCTCACCCTCTCATTACAACCCTCCCCATCCAGCTGACATGAAGCCGCTTCACACGTTGGTGCTTTTCCCACACACTTTCCTCCTCCTCCTCCTCCTCCTCCGTCCCCAGGAGGAGAAAGTTCAGCGTCGCTTTGGGAAAGGAGAGAAAATAAAGCCATGCCAGAAAAGGAGTGACAAGACGAGTCCTTCCTCCTGCCCTCCTCTTCCAGGCGGGTTCTGCTACACGCTCACGCGGGAGCAGCCGCCCTGCACCACCCAACCTGTAATTTCAGATACAAAAGCGTTTTTCCTTCCGATCTACAGCCTCTGTGTTGCTCACCTCTGAATTTCCTACCACCAAGATGCCCATTCACAGCCTCGTTTTTCTTCTAAATTCATCAACTGCCTTTGCCTCACCTGCATTTAGGCAGCCTGCTTTCACGACGTCTTCGTTAAGAAACTATTTAATTGCTGAAAGTGAAGAATGCTGCAATTCGTTCTTCATCTTTTGCCCATTTATCCCTTTCCCTCTGCCTCCTACCCTTCTGCCAACTCTGGCGATGCCAGAACACCTCAAATCCTCATTAAATAGAAGTTCTTCTCTACAGCATTTTGGGAAAAGGAGGACAAACTCAGCCCCACACGAACAGGCCTTCAGTAGTCTCAAGGGTTAACATCAGCCATCACCTATAAATCGGCAAAGAATAGAGAAACTTTATTTAATACAAGAATATAGTCAGAGAACATGTGTGGAGGGAAACTGAAAAGAATTTCCAAACTGACAGCAGTGCCGTGTGGTTTACCATTCCCTCCGGGAAGGCTAAAATAAGATTTTAGGGCTGCAGCAAGTCTCTGCCCCATCCCTATTTTTACTTTCCCTTCTCACGTCTTGATGCTCAGTATTACGATCAACTATGTACTTCGTAAAGCATTTTAAATATTCTACTTTGCTAAGATTGTGTCTTTAAGTAAGGAGCACTAACTTTCTCTTCAAGCAGTGCTTTAAAATGGGAACTCGCTATTTTTAGCTTTTTTTTTTTTTTTTTAATGAGGAAGTTTAAAATACAGAACATACTGTTAAAATGACAGCATTCTACTTGGAAAAAAAAAAAAGATCATCTCTGGGGTAAGACATCCAAGCGATGAAACAACAGTCTAACACGGTGATAAATTCTACAAGAAGAGTTTGAATTCCACGCAACTTTGGGAAACAAGGATCACGCTGATCGTTTCCACTTCCCGAGGGAGTTTTAGGGATACGTCTCTCTAAGCAAAGTAAGACTTTCTGAGACTTTCCAGGAAAAAAAATCATTATTTCCTGACTCTTCTTTTTAGAAAGGAAAAAAAAACGGTAGCAAGAACAATTCCCCTTTCTTTAGGGAAAGCCTCATCCCTTTTCCAACTGAAGAAACGTGGCTATAATAACTCAAAAGTCAGTCAAAGGTTTTATGTTCTGTGAATAGGAGAATGATGGAAGAGTTAATTATAGCTGCTGCGTCATCCAGTTCCAGCACACAGCAGGATCAAAATAGAGCATCTGACAGTGAATTATCCGTAGTCTCAAGCAGAAAAACAGAACTCTCCTTTTCAGCCGCCCCAGATTCAAAAATATCCCGAACTAAAGCACATTAGCTGCACGAGGATACATTCCCGGAATATTAAAATGAGAATATGGCTCTTCTTTTCCCTGGGAGTAATTTTGAAAACAACCATCCTTTGCCAACTCGCGGAAAAGAAGTTATTAAAAATTCTTCTGGCAAAATTAATTTTAGAAAAAAAAGGGAAACTTTAACCTGGGAAGATAACGGACAGGTTAAAACCACAGCTCTGATAATGTCCTTCTTGGAAGTATTTCAAGCAATCCATAGGTCTTGGAGCAGGCCAAAACGGCAGGAAGAAAACGGCTTTGGAACTTCCATTTTGTGCTTCCGCTCTCAGTACTGAACCTGCCATGATTTTTTCCAGAAGCAGAGCGCGCTCTGGCACGCCGCCTTTTCCCAAGGCGGGAAAACCTGCTCTTCAACATCCATGTAAACTCAGCGGAGCGGAATGCCAGCACGCAGCAGAACTCATCTCCCGAGCTGTCACAACACTCGCGGTGAGCGGAGAGGGAGCCTTGTGCTGGGGACCTGGGGACACAGAGCTTCCGTCGCCTCTTGGGTCGATCGCCCACTTCGCCTCCTGACACAAGCTCATTTATGAAGAACGTCAAGTTTTGACCAGGAAGGATTTCAGATGCTCTTCAGCTTCTAAAATCTTCGCTCCAGCTTTTATCATGGCATTATAGCGACGTAGAATAGAGATTTTTGATTTTTACTCGGCAAAATCAGATACAAAACCTGAGCTATGAAGGAGATCGTTCTTACTTTGTTAAAGTGGACATGAAATCCTTCTCTGACACACACACTTTACTACACGTGTAGTTTACAAGCCCTTTTAAAGTACTAATCTGCCTTCTGTAATTGCCTGCAAGTACATAAGGATGCATGTGTTCTTACTCACAGTATTTATCTATGTATCTGTTTTATTAATCAAGATAAAATCTATTCATAATCCATTTTTTTGAAGTTTTATCTGTATGGGCTGAGTCTCCAAGACTCCATGTGTCAGAATCCAGCAGTGGGGTTCAGCTCACAAAAACAAGCCCCAAATACGCCTGGTTTCAGCGTGCTGCAGCTAATTTAGCACACACCACTTTCCTTTTCTCACTTTTAACTGCAAAACCAACATTTCAAATCCTGGGGCGTGCATCCTATAGAACCAGTCCTCATTTCCACCCAAATATCTCCTTTCCAAGCAACTGCATCTTGCAGTTCTAGCAACTACGAAGTTAACGCTCCGTTTATGGATGAAAAATGAAAGCGCTTGAGTGAAGAACACAAAGTGAGCCGTTCTCTTTGTTCCCAGCAAAAAAGGAGATAAAAGAGAGACTCCAAACTATCGATGGAACAGGATACCTGCTGCTTTCTGTCAATGGCAGCTGTGCTGAATCAAGGGATCTCCCAACCTGCCCTACCCTTTTTTGCAATTTTCAAACGTGGGACCATCGTCACTTCTGCGAATTCATTTGAGAACGGTGAGTCAGCCGCAAGGCTGGTGGCCACCCTCGTTACGGCAGGCAGGAAACACCACGGCCTTCGTGGAAAATAAAGCAGAAAGAAGCATTTAACACGCGCTGCGGGCGACGCGCTGCCAAACTTCAGGGTTTTTTTTTTAAAAAAAAGAGCAAAACAAAACCAGTCTCTGATTGTCAGAGCGAGTTAAAAACCAAGTCACCTAAAATTAGTTGAAATCTGTTCCATTCTTCAAGGGAACACGTGCCAAATTTCAGCAGGGAAAAAAGTAAAAATGGGGTTTTTTTATTTAATTTTTTTTTTAATAGCTGCCTTCAAAAACTGTTTAACCAGAACTGATAAATGATCCAGGATTCCTTTTACAGAAATATGCAGAGCGATTATGGGTTTTCTTTCCTGCCAAAATTAAGCAAAATCAGGAACTCTGCCTAGAT